GCCAGTGTAATCGTTAAATGACAATTAATTTGGGTAGGGGTTTTTTAAATCTTTAATTTATTGACGTAAGTTCTCTTGAAAGATAATATTATACCTTAGTAGATGTTGACGACTGTCTGTTCATCATTGAATCGTCTTTGGTTAGTGTTGCTATCGACATCTAATATCATCGCTTTGACATTTTGGTTTTGACATTAGTTAATCTCGCACGATATCCTACTAATATTATAAATATAAAAGTTTGTTAGGATGTGTAGATGTTTGTTATTCTCTCACGCAAAAACTACTGAATGGATTTTATTGAAACTTTACAATTATATAACTTATACATCAGAATAACACAAATACTACTTTTTATCCCGGAAGTGTACGGTTCCTGTGGGATAGATTTATTTTTGTTTTCATAGTTCAGAGTCCATTTCATAGTTCAAATATAAATTAAAAAAAAATCGAACGAAGATCTATGTGCTCCTTACATTTTTAATGAAAAAAATATCATGTAGTACTTTTTTATAACAACTATTATTTTTATATTATTTATCATCACAAGTTTTCGTAAATTGCTCTTTGCTATTTTTAATCATAGGTTTATATCTTGTTTTCCTTATTTTTTCGTACAATTTATCTGTTTTCTGTCTCCGATACAATATCCTGGAACATCTTGTATGTTATTTCCTTTAGACCGTCCCGTTATAGGGAAGTTCATATTGCAAAAGTACTGCTATCGAACGAAATTGTTTACTCTTATATGCTAGCTATAATGAAAATAAATATTTACTCTTCTAATATACCTATAATAGTTACGTAATATTTTCTTTCCCAAAATAATTCTGCTATAGTAAATAACTGTTCAAATATAATATTAAATGTTTATTGAAAACACGTAGGTATATATTATATTCTTATTTTTTCACTGTCTCATTGGTCTAGTTGCTAGCATGCATGGATGTAGATATGGAAGTACTGGGTTCGAATCACACGTCTTGTCATAGCCGGAATTGGTGAATTATTGGTGAAATACTACCGTTCCTCAGAGAGCTTTTACATTTATTGGTTTAGAATATGTTGAATTTTTTTATATATTTTACATTCACAGTACATACAGCACATAAAGTAACAAACATTGTTAAGGCAGAGTACATTTGCAAGCATTTAAATCATTTCTATATCTAATACGTTCTAAATATACTTTACTGGGTTATGTACCTTGGTGTAACATTTAAAAACAAACATCAAAATCGAATCTCTTGGTCGCCTTAGATAACAGTAGGTACACTACCGTTGCTGAAGTGGTAAGATAATATTATTTTTTACTAGCGGCTCACTCTCGCTTCGCTAAGGTACGCCTTTAGAAAAACAAAAACAAATCTATCCCACGGGAACCGTATATTTTTCCGCGATTAAAAGTAGTCTATGTGTAATTCTGATGTATGAGCTATATTATTGTAAAGTTTCATCAGAATCCATTCTGTAGTTTTTGCGTGAAAGAGTAACAAACATACATCCATACATCTATACATACATTGTTACAAACTTTCGCGTTTATAATATTAATAGGATATACTACGTACGCACATATGAATGTATATTTGTATGTAGACGTATATATGTCTCTCAATTAGTTGATTATCTCGGTTTGTTAGCTGTCTTGGATTTTGATAATTTTGACTCAGCTAAGACGAACGTGCTCGGTTAACACAAAATTTCTTCTAATTGGGACTTGGTGTTACAGTAAATGTTGAATTAAATAATTATAATATATTAACTATTTCATTTTAATTTAAAAAATATAAGAAAAGCAATTTTAACATTAAAATATTAAAACAATTAAGTGTTCTCCAAACTCGAATAACTTATTTTTAACTGACTTCAAAATGGAAGAGGCTCTCAATTTGATTGTTTTTTTTTATGTAGGTATGTACACCGATTACGCTGAGATTTATGATCCGATTTACGTGATTCTTCTTTAGTTTGATGCGGAATATTTGCCATTTAGTTCCATAAAAAATTAACGTAGTTTGGTCCAGTAGTTTTCATTTTATGAAAAAAAAATTCTGATTTTTTTTTGTTTTTTTTTGCCCCGATTTCAAACCTATTAATAGGTAGCACATACAAATAATAGTATTTTATGAATATTAAAGGTTTGCATCAGAGATGTATTAAATTAAATCTTTATTAAGTTATTTTATACTTTTTAGTTTTTAGTGTCGGTGTTTGTTGTAAGTCGGTGTTTTTAAACGTAGTTTTTTTTATTGGAATAATATCTCGTAGTAGCCAACGTAGGCAAAGTAGTTTTCCTATAAATATATAACAAAATCATTAATCACAATAACAATTTTAAGACTTACTAAGTGGTCAGAGACTTTACATTTGAAAGCTTTGAGTGTCGCAGAAGAAAAAACATTTTTCATCTACTCTAATATATTTTGAAAATACTATGATTTATGAAAATTGAATTTTCAATTTTATATACACGTAATAAAGTTTAAATTGAATTGCTAAAAGACTTATGAAAGTGACTTATAAAAATAATTAGCCTTATCGACCCTACATATTTCAAATAATTTTTATTGCTTATTTCTTTCAGCATAAGGTTCAGATTGGTTTGAGTTGAGATTGAGTCTGGCTTGACTTAGTTACTTTCAAATTTCAACCATAAATGTAGGTAATTTAAGGTTTATTTTATAAGAATGTTACTTATGATCTTTCGCTTTGAAAAGTTAAGGTTTTACTACGATAAGTAGCTTTACTAAAATATTTTACTATATTCGATATCGTATTGACGCGAATAAAAATATAGTACCTACTTATTATTTACTGGTTGTGAATTTGTCATACTAAAATAAAACGCGTCGTCGATATATATATATATATATATATATATATATATATATATATGTATATGTATTGATGACGCGTTTGGCTCAGTTTGTAGTGACCCTACTTGCTGTGCCAGCGGTCGCGGGTTCGAATCCCGCTGGGGGCTTCCATTTGTGTGTTGAGCACGAATGTTTGTAGTCCAGTCATGGGTGCTTATATTTATAATATTTATGTATTTAAAAGTTATATATGTGTAGTTTATCAACTATTTGGTATCCATAACACAAGCATCGTAGCTTACCATGGAAGTAGATGGTGCTGTGTAGTAGTCCCAAAATAATTAAAAAATATTTATTTATAATAATGTATATTTTTTGTGATATTCTGAATCATGTCATATGTCATGTCATATATATAACTAATTTTTCTACTCGATACTCGCTAGCGACTATCGAGTATAAAATTCGTGATAGAAATGATGCATTGAATCAGAATTTATTGGCGAATTTCTCGTACCCAACATTGGGCGCTAATGGAAAACGTAATGGACAACGAATTGAAGCGTTGATCGAAATTTTGCAAGCCGTGGAATATGTGGGAATTTGAAATTTGATTCTTCATTTCAATCTATGGCATTATAGAATATCCAGAGTCAATTTTTTTTAATAATTATCATGATTAGATAGTATATGTAAGTTTTAGAATTTTTGTTTGTCTGTATGTGTCTGTTGTGTTTAAAAATAACTACAAAACTAGAGAGTTTTGTAGGTATTTTTTGTGGATAGAAGCTGACTTGATTATTATAGAGCTTTCTACAAATATATGCATGTTTGATTATAATAAGCTCAATATTCTACAACTTTTTTTTTTAGACTACTATGTAAGTAGTCAAAAATAAGGAAAAATAAGATTTCATTTTTGACCGACAAAAAAGAGGAGCTCAGGTGTCATTTCGGGTGTATGTTTTTTTAAATATGCTAAAGAATTGAATTAATATTATGTAATATCATTGGTTGGGAATTGCGAATCGATTTTCATAATTAAATTCAAAGAAACGCTTCAGTTCAACGTTTCTGAAACAAACCGCCAAGGTGTGGGACACCTTTCCAGCATTTGTGTTTCCTGCCAACTATAATTTCAGTACTTTCTAGGCAAGCGCTATCCATCCGTGCGTCCAGCGTTGATTATATATCGTCAAGCGAAAGCCTATCTAGTAAATAAAAAAAAAGTAATAAAAAAAATAAAAAATAAGGCGTGCAGCCTGAACTGTCGATAAGAAAAAGTATAAAAATGATGAAATTTCATCTGCTTTAAAGTTGTAATTTAATTTGTAGCCTAGGATATGAACTACAATATTTTCATTTTTTTATTACTTTTTAATATACTCTTACGTCATCTGTTGAATAATTTAAAATACTTGCCCATTTACGTACCTAGGGTGCTAAAGAGAACAACGTCGAAAGCCGACGTAGTACTTAGTTGGATCTAGTCGAAGTGATAGATGGCGTTGCTACGTGAATAAAAAATATGAATAATAACAACGAGTGCAGAGCAACAGCTGTCTACGTAATTAATGATAGTGGGTTCATTTCCCATATTTTTTAAATATATTCATGTAAAATTAAGCAAAATTTCACTTCTAATATAATAATGCTGAACGCCTTTAAAATATTTATATTAGTATTAATAAACTTAAGTCTACATTTAGACACAGTATAAGGATATATCTTTTGGCTACTTCTCCTATTTTGCTGGAGGTTACAGGTTGAATACTATGGAGTAGAAAAATATTCTTGGCATGACAAAGCTTATCTCTTATCTATTTCAATGTATAGCAATGGTAATCGTAAGGTGGATATAATTTCACTGTAAATTTTCTATAATTTTATTTTAATGTTAATCTTACACTATAAATTATTACGTTATTTACACGTCCCGGCCCACAAACTGTCTTTTTGTTTAACTAAAAAAAATAACTTCAATTCATTGCCTTGTAATAAAATGATAAACAAACACATTTAATGTAAAATTATATTATATAATGATATCTTATTACATAAATAAATAGTTTACATGGTTAAATTCCTTTCAAAGGCATAAATACCTATCAATGAATATTATTGAATAGTTATGTGTTGTAGCAGTATTTTAAAATAACACCTTATTTTTCAGGTTATCAAATGTCGCGGAAGTCGTGTTCTGTGGGTGGGTCGAGAGGGGCGTGTATGTGGGTGCAGGAGTGCAACCGTGTGGGAGGGATACATGCTGGTGTGTGCGTCGATGGGTTCATGTTCGGGTCGTGCTGCAGGTTGCCAGACAAACCTATAGTGGCAGGTGCGTTACCTATGTTCTGTTTTAGTTAGCTGTTATTAAACGTATTACTTACCTATTAAGTTTCTTTTGTTAATATTAGAGATGCACCGAACCTGGATATCAATAAATGATTAAGCGAGTACGAATATTCGGCAGAATATTCGTCCCAAAAGGTACCGAATCGAATATCAGGCCGAATTATTCGGCTTAATTTTACGCAGTAAAGCGGCTTATAAAAAGTTATTTATATTTTTTTTACTTGTAAATAAATGATTATTACATGAGATAGTGTAGTGTCACTACAAATAGAATTTACGTTTCCCAAAATAAATCTTTTGAAGCGTATATAATAGTTCTTAAAATTATACTTTTTAAATATTTGGTAATTATTCGGCAAACTAACAAATATTCTGGCGAATCCGAACATAAAAATAGGTATACGTCGAACATACTGAATGCGAATATTCGATTGAACATGCATCTCTAGTTATTATTATCTCAATTACATATATGCAAAATCGTACTAAAATTCATGTTTGTTCACTAGATTAACAAATGCAATCTTTAAAACTTATATTAAGTACACTAGATTATAGAAAATACCTCTAATAAACCAAGAGGTTTTAAATAACTTTTTTCCGGATGTCTTCGCGGTTTAATTTTACTTTTTTTTATTGAAGTTTCATCTTTTCCGTAATCATGTTTATTGTAAAACATTTAAAACGTCGGAAACAAAACAAAATTAAACCACGAAATAACCCAATAAAAATGTTTTATAGAAAATTTTCAAATATTCGCGTAACATCTAAGAAAGTATTGTACACTGAGAGATTTTAAACCATTTTAACAAAATATTATCACTACTTACTAAATAATGTTATAATATAATATTATGATAATACAACATATTATATTTTCAGAAACCCAAAGTCCAGTAACGGAAACGGACCGGCCTTATATAGCGCCACCCAGCGTTACCCCGAGCACATCAACTACCACACAAACCTCTACTCAAACCTCTCGGCCAAACACTCAAACTGTACGGCCGTCGTTCATGACCAAACCTATAGATGGCGCGCCTACCCTTTATAGTTATCGTCCGCCAGACGTAAATCTACCTTCAGTAGACAATTTAGCCGCACATAGCGAAAATAGTGATATAGTTAATAAAATAACATATAACAGTGTAAATAAGTATCAAAATGTACATAGGCCGAGCGAAGAAACTAGTCCCCATAATAAAATTTCATCTAGTCTTAGCATATTGTCCGGGGCGCGACCTATGGCCGTGTCGGAGCAGCACGCAGATAACAGTATTGCACAAGGTAATTTTTGTTTTAGTTCATTTGGACTTGGCTAGATGACGTTGTACTTTAAAGTGATTTCTAATATTGTGCCTTTATTAGGCAGTCATACTTTATAAATGGCTCATTAAATAGTAACATATTTTAAAAGTTACTGACTAATTAAAAATTAAAATTTTATTAAAGATAAATATATGAAATTACAGCCCACATGATGTCTCGACCCAGCAATTTGAACACAATCCATTGGCAGGCGACAACCGAACCTTCTTTCATTACAAAACCGAGACCAAACTGGGAGAAACCCGCGGGAAAACCTAAACCTACAAAGAAATTTACAACCACAACCAGTAAACCACATAAAAACTACATGAAACCAAAGGATCCAATATTGAACATGATTAACAAGACTGATGAGTCTATGCCGCTTCAGACTACTGCTGCTACGAATAGTGTCGGTACGTTGGTTTGTCTCTAAAAGGTTTTTGCTAAGATAAAAAATATTTTTATCTAAAGAGTTTCTTAGATATTTTTTTCAGTTTAAGGAGTTAATATTTGTCTGGATACTTTCAAAAATGACTAAAATTAGGCTTTAAGATTTATTTCAAAAATGTGAAAAAATTAGAAAAATAGTTTTTATTTTTATATACGTATTAATTTTTTTCCTATATATCATATATATCATGCACGTAAAGATTTCAAGTACTTGGAATGTGTATTGCTGTTTTAATTTATCTTTACTAAAGTATTTTATTATTATATATTTATTATTATTGATATACCTATCACTTTGCTGTAAACTTCGACATCGATTACGATTTGTGGTGTTCAATTAGAAGAGGTTTTTTAATATAAAAAATAAAATATATATTTTAATTAATAACATTTTTAGATATTGTTAAAATTTATAAATAAGTTGTAATTAACTGTTGTTGCAAAAGCTATAATATAGGAGTATAACGTTTTAGAAATTTCCTGTTAGAAGCAAGACCAATTTACTTTTCCAAGCTATATATCGTTTCAACTGTCCGTTCTGCCTCACAATTTGCCGTTGTAATACAAGATTATGGTTATTTTTAACAATTACTAAGTCGCATGTTAATATTTATTAACAAATATACAAAATTAAATTTCAGAATGTGGTGTAACAGCAATGTGGCCTCGTCCAGAGACCCGTATAATGGGGGGTCAAGATTCAACATTCGGGCGTTGGCCGTGGCAGGTGTCAGTGAGAAGGAACTCCTTCTTCGGTTTCTCTTCCACGCATAGATGTGGTGGAGCCATCATCAATGAGGGATGGATAGCGACAGCCGGACACTGTGTCGATGAGTAAGATTGAATGGAACTGTCTGAAGAAGGTTTTCTTCTTCAGGCAGTTTCAAGATTTAAGAGAATTTGTCTCTCTTATTATAGTTAATAATAGAAACTATATAATTAAAGATATGTACTGTCGAAGATGCTTACGTACTTTAGGTATATTATTTTGATCTTTCAAAATGTTAGTCAAAATCAAACGGGAAGTATTGCCATCGTAAATAATACAAATTGAAATATTCCAAAGCTATTTAAATATTTACCCGTCGGCGCTATATGTCTTAAGAACTCTATAATAAAATAACCGAAGGTTTTAAAATTAGTCGTTATTTTATTCAATATGGAATGGTGAAGCAGATTGGGATTCATTTATTTAAAACTAGAACTTGTCCTATTAAATCAAGTGTGTTACAAGCCCGATTAGAAAAATGGTGTTTTTACGTTTTTCCGTAAAAAATTTCTAATCTTCCTCGGACTTCAACGAATATTTGAAAAAAAAATTAACCGAATCGGACCAGCCGTTCTCGAGTTTTGCGCTTAGCAACACAAATAGCTAATCATTTTTATTTATAAGATACATAGATATCGAACTACGCAAATTTTAGTTACATATAATATTTATTTTAACATTATATTATAAACGCTCCTCAATCGATTTTTCATACGTAAGAATCAAATATGACTCAATTTTTTTTTTCACAGCCTTCTAACATCGCAAATAAGGATACGAGTGGGAGAATATGACTTCTCTTCTGTATCAGAGCAATATCCATATGTAGAGCGCGGTGTCGCGAGAAAAGCTGTTCATCCGAAATACAATTTCTATACATACGAATATGATTTAGCTTTAGTCAAACTGGATTCGCCGATACAATTTGCACCGCATATATCGCCTATATGTCTGCCCGCAACCGATGATCTTTTGGTGGGAGAAAACGCTACAGTTACTGGATGGGGAAGGTTATCTGAAGGAGGAATCTTGCCATTGGTTTTACAAGAGGTACACTCTAATATGTCATCGCTAGATATTTAAGTACTGGCATATTATGCTTAATTTTCGATTTTGTAACTTTTTGTAACACAAAATTATAGATAACATTCACTCGATCTCCAATATTTTTTTCATGTTAAGACTTTAATGATTTTTTTAATATATGATTTAAACCATTATTAATTTTAAATAACAATAATAATAATAATATCTAAATAATTTCCAGGTGCAAGTACCAATAGTATCGAATGAGCGATGTAAATCAATGTTCCTGCGCGCGGGCAGGCACGAGTTCATTCCCGACATCTTCCTCTGTGCTGGACACGAGAGTGGGGGCCACGACTCCTGCCAGGGGGACTCGGGAGGACCTTTACAGGTTGGTATCAAGTTAACCTGTTATTTACTACTAGCGACTCACTCTCGCTCAGCTCGGGTTCGTATCTAGTTACGTTTAACATTTAGCTCAGAGATGAGATATTTTCCCGAAGTAAAAAGTATCCTATATGTTGACCCGGATAACTAGCTATAATGTAGCTGTCCAGTGGAGTTTTAGTGATGCGTTCACAGACAGGCAGACTAAAATTCTACAGAACTATAGATTCGGCCTCTGTATCAATGATAACGTATATTTCAATAAGATTTTCCAAAAAATATTTAATGTACAGATTCGGCTTGGTTAGATTTTTTTACTATATGTATAGACTACTTATCCTCGCTTGAATGGTATAGGAATGCATGAAAGACAAACGTTCAAAGAAAAAAATGTTATTTTTGCGCGAGGAATCTTCAGGCGTATGTAGAACTAGCATTGCCTGCGGCTCCGCCCGCGTTCAGATGACCAAAACCAAATTCTTAAGTTTTACATATTAATATCTCTTACATTGCAGTTTTTGTAATTTTTCTAAGAAATGAGATATTTTCCCGCGGTAAAAAGTATCCTATATGTTGACCCGGATAACCAGCTATCATCATACGAAACTTCATCAAAATCTGTCTAGTGGTTTTCTCGTGATGCTGTAACAGACAGACAGACAAACAAAAATTCTAAAAAGTATAGCTTCGGACTCTGTATCGATAATAATGTCTATTTCAATAAGATTTTCCAAAAAATATATAATGTACAGATTCGACTTAGTTACAATTTTATTATATGTATAGATAAGGCACTAGAGTTTCATCACAATTGGATCAATAGTTCAGGAACGCATAGATACTACAAACATACGACCATTCCTTTTTTATTTATATAAATTTTTATCTCATCTATTTCGCTTATCTAGTTTCTATGATTATTAAAAAGAAACAGGTGTTTTTTTACTCCAATTTATTTGAAAGTGATATTATCTTGTCTTTATTTTAAAAGGGTTAATCAAGTGTTAGACAGTTTAGTGAAAGATTAAAAGAAGTAATATAGTGCAAAGTTTTATAGATTAAAAGAACCCACTTCAATAATTTAACGATGTTCAAGCTTGGAAAAGGAGCGAGTTTTTTGAGTTGTTTGAGTTCTTTTTACGTGTGATTGTAAAGTCTGAGTTTTACTAAGTAGAAATCATAAGTTTGGATCTAACGTTGATCTTTCTTGTTGAATTGAGTGTTGTCAATTGCTATCAATCGAGACTAACTTAAGTGTTATCTCAAACAAGGTAACGTTTGTAGTTGCTGTTACTGAAATGCTACCGTCCAATGTTTGCCACTTGTTACTTTTAATGGCTTTGGCATAACGATTTAAATAAGGTATTTATTTCCTACATTCTAGTCTATACATAAAATAAAATTGTAACTAAGCCGAATATGTACACTGAATATTTTTTTTTGGAAAATCTTATTGAAATAGATATTATTATCGAAACACAAGTCGAATCTATAATTTTTACAATTTTTGTCTGTCTGTCTGTCTGTCGGTCCGTTCATCCGTCCGTCCGTCCGTCCGTCCGTCTGTGACCGCATTACGGAAAAACGACTGGAGGGATTTTGATGAAATTTGGTATGACGATAGCTGGTTATTCGGGTCAACACATAGGAGACTTTTTACTGTGCGAATCTCACCTCTCAGAAATCTATACTGAACGTTAAAACGTAAGTAGGGACGAACCCGAGCGGAGCGAGGGTGAGTCTCTAGTAATATTACAAAATTATAGCTTATATTTTATAGCTTATTCTTGAATGTCAAAAGACAAAAAACGAAGTACACTATTTTAGAGCATTATTTTATGCAACAATACGTGTACATATATTTCATATTTTAAAACTTTAAATGGAAAACAACCTTAAAACATATTGCCTAAGTCGTGTAAAATTTATCTGGCTATGATGAAAGTAGAATGTACGAAACACTGAAAAAGCAAGCACTAGAATAAGTTTAATGGTTGAGACAGTAACCGCATTTAAAGTTATACGTAGCCTCATTTTGCAGATCTAGCTTAATAATTCTCTGAAGACAGCTCCTGCATTACAATGTCAAGTGATGCAATTTTCGAGTGGCAATTTATACTAATGTGTTTTAAGTTTTCTTAAGTCTAAACTATTTTCAGTTAGTTTGTTGGATTTGTTAATTTTTGTTCTATAAAAAGTTTGTATGGCGTTTTAATAGAAAATGAGTTTTAAATTGTTTTTATTAACTTATGATTGTGCTTCGCCTCGATTTAATGTGTTTCTAGGTGTCTAACAGTAGTATGTGCTATGTGTTATTCCAGACCAGTCTGTCTGAATTTCATCTACATAAATCGAAATAGCTGTTTTAGCGTAAAAGAGAAACAAACATGCGCACAAACATGCATACAAACTATCGAATTTATATTAGTAGTCTTTAAATAATTACTTTTTATCGTTAACCTAATGGAACAACATAGAAAGAATGTCATAGAACTAAACATGAAGCCAAGCAATGTTGTTTTAAAATAGTATACAAATGAGTATTTATTGAGTAATAAGTAAATAAATGTTAATAACAAATAGGTTTTATATACATATAATTTTTATTATATTTCTTGAAATTCAAATTATTCTAAAGAAGAATCAATAAAATTGGTTCGCAGTAGCAAAGGTATCTTGAAGCCTAGCTTAAGTTTATAGATCTAGTCATACTTGTTTGTAATACAACACTTTGTAGAAGAAGATGTTGTTATTAGAAACTAGTTTTCGCCCCCGGCTTCGCTCGCATGATAACTAGAATGGGGATCAAATGTAACTTATGCCCCCAATGTGTAATCGATATCCTTATCAAGTTTTATCGTGATATGTTCAATGGTTTAAGCATGAAAAAGAAAAAGACGGATAAGAATATTTATAAGTATGATGGAATTAGTGTGGATTCTTTCAATTGCTTTGTTTATTAGAACTGGAAATCTTAATAAACTGAAAATATAAGTATTTTAACGACACGCTTGGCTCAGTTTGTAGTGCTACTTGCTGTGCCAGCGATCGCGCGTTCGAGACCCGCTAGGAGCATTAATTTGTGCGATAAACACGAATGTTTGTCCTGTCATGGGTGTTTGTATTTATAATATGTATGTAGTTAAGTTATATGTGTAGTGTATCAACTATCTGGTGCCCATAACACAAGCCTCGTACCTTACCATGGAACTAGATAGGGATGTGTAGTGTTAATGTCCCAACATATTTATTTATTTAATTGTTATAAACACAAAAGGCACCTAGGGACGTACTCGAGTGTAGTGAGGATAAGCTATATATAAACATACAGTTTAACAAATAGGTACATGATATGGTAATTTATTTTCAAAACGTACAGTTTCAAATATTATAAAAGTTTTTCCTAATTTTCAGGTCAAAGGGAAGGATCAAAGATATTTCTTAGCGGGTATTATAAGTTGGGGGATCGGATGTGGTGAAGCAAACTTACCGGGGGTTTGCACGAGAATATCTAAGTTCGTCCCCTGGATACTGCAGACTGTGAACTCATAAGCTCACACCGTGGTATTATACATAAAGTGACAGTGAATATGTCGGACTTATAGGAAGTGATTTCAAATGAATTTTGTTCACAATAATCAAAAACTGAATATATATTTCATAGAACAAACGTTTGTCGATTTACGAACCGACCTACCGATTTCAACAAGTTACCTTCAAAAATGTTGATTGATTTCAACGTTTTCTGAGGCGTTTTATTATTGGATAGTCCACCGGAGGCTGAACAGATCTTGTCATGCGAGATTCTGTATCATTTTTGCTTGTTAATGGTGAATATTGTAATAATATGGCAGGTTATTACTTATATTTTGAAAATTAGTAATAAAGTAAAAAAAATCATAAAAAAATATAATTTTCCATATAAAACCTTATAACTTTAGCGTGTCTTATCAAAATAGTAACGAAAAATGGCTTAAATTGTCGCATTTCTGTGCTTATATTATACAATAAAATGTTTTTTCAAATTTAACATTCAACAATTATCTTATATAAATAGATTATGAGTAATAACCTGCAATAATCGCTGAGGCTTGGACTTTAATAAACGCCCTTACAAACACCGCTTGTTTCCGAACAAATATAATTATTTATTTCGTACACTGACACAGTAACAGAGCTTATTGTAAATATAATTACATATCGAATAATTTAACATATCATCAAATGTACTGTCCTCTACTTTATATTTTGTGCAACCAATAATTAATTATAATATAATTAATTTATTTGCTATATACCTATACATATATAGGTCCATCTATTCTCTTTGTACTTATAGATCAGGTATGATATAGTAAATTATAGATGTTATTCACTCACTGTATTGTATACATATAAAGATTTAGTTAGATTCTTAATATGTATTTTTTATCTTAAATGGGCATTTGTATTAATAAAAGTTACTTACGCAGAAATCGAACCTACTACCTTTCGTGTAGCCAACTAGATATCCTTCTAAATTAACTGTCAATCACTATTAATTTTAAATAAAATATCCGACAGTTTTACCTCTTTAGCGAAATTATTTTAAATGTAAATACTTCTTGCCTTAGTTGCTTAGCGTGTTATATACAGTATTATTTATATCTGATTTGTTTTTGTAAATAACATCGATTGTTAGTTTCTTCTAACAATATTATTTAGTGTTAAGAATTTTCATTATAATGTAAACATGTAGAATCAAAAATATTCTTAAATTAAGGCACTTTTGTATAGTATAATATATAAATATGTTAACTTAACAAGAATGTGAGCATTACCAAATCACACTGTTATATAATTATTCAATATATTACGAGAGACAATCGATAAATAACAAATCTATTGTGAATAGAAAAAAAAACCATGTACTTATTACATAACTAATTTGGCGGTCGTCTCCCGGAGTATAAGCAAGTACTTCAGTGATGTTTATAACGTATATTCTATTTAAAATTTTGTTTGAATGAATAGTTTATATGGTGTTGAAGTATTGTTCGTTTGCACAGTAATTTTGTTAATAATTAAATATTGAATTAATATATCGTGAATCATTTATTTATATGTTCCTTTACTGCTGTCATGTTTGTTACTCTTCCACGCTAAAACGTCAAATAACGACAAAAATCTGTAGTAACACATAGGTATATTCATGAACTAATATGAATAAATTAATGTTAATAAATAAATAATCTACACTTATATTATAAAGAGGAAAGATTTGTATGTTTGTAACGAATAAACTTAAAAACTACTGGACCGATTTAGCTGAAATTTAGTAAGAAGATAGTTTGAGACACTGGGAAGAACATAGAATAAATTATCCCTTAAGGGTGTAAAAATGGGGATGAAAGTTTGTATGGGCAATCTACCTAGTGACGTACCCGTTTGAAGCGAGGGTGAGTTGCTAGTTAAAAAAAAAATAATTCCATATATTAATGATAAATACAAACATTACTTTTAGATGTCATACGAAATATTATAGCTGGTACAAAGCTAACGAGGTCTTGTTAGCCAAAATCCAATGAGTTTCATTACGGATCCATAACAGGCAAATACGCTAATTGATGATTATTAATTTCAAGCATAGCTGTGGTCAATAAATTAGATTCTGCATCGAATTCCAAAGTGGAACATTCCAATTCAGCCATTAGAAATGAGAACCGTTTACACGATGTCGTATGACAAGATCATTATAATATAATAAATAATGAAATGTGAGTAAATAATGTTTATTACTTGTTTATGTTATGGCTCAACAATTTAACTGAAATAATATTAAGATTATAATACTTGTTCAAAGTTGCTTTTATAAAAATAAATAAATTTATATACACATAATAAATTTCTAAGTCGAATCTGTACATTAAATATTTTTTGGAAAATCTTATTTAAATATCATTATTATCAATACAGAGGCCAAATCTATAGTTTTTAGAATTTTTGTCTGTCTGTCTGTCTGTTATCGTATCACGGAAAACCCACTGGAGGGATTTTGATGAAATTTGGTATGATGATAGCTGGTTATCCGGGTCAACACATAGGATACTTTTTATCGCGGGAAAATATCTCATTTCTGAGAAAAAATACAAAAACTGCATTGTAAGAGTATACTAATATGTAAAACCTAAGAATTTGGTATTTGGTCATCTGAACGCTGGTGGAACCGCGGGCAATGCTAGTAAGTAAATAAATTTCTTAAAAGAATATGTTAATCTATTTTAAAGTACTCTAAATGGTTTTTGCAAATCAGCTAGTTGTAGTCTCATTTCTCAGTATATCTAACTGCGAGCTTAATTTTAACAAAACTTATTTTAAAGTAAGCAAAATTGTAGTAAAGAAATGAGAATATTCAATTAAAGTAATAAATAAACGAAATAAAATATTGTAAACGATACAAAAATATAGGTCAGATAGAAGATAAAAGAAAATTCCAAACAAAATTATCAAAGAAATTTTTCACTTCACAACATAAAAAAGTAAATATAATTTAAATTTGTATATGATTACATAATACTTCATGAGGAAGTATAATAAAAATAAGAACAGGATAAAGATCCAATTCATAGAATCTTCTCTAACAAGTTTTTGTGCTCGATGTCGTCAAACGAATTTTGAAGAAAATCTAAACTTAAATTTTTAGATATAAAACTTTGCGCATTAATAAATACATAAAATAAAACAAATAAATATATTGCATTTAAAATTTAATAAAAAATATTATAAGTAATAACTAAAAAAATGTACAGTTATATTTACAAATGCGTAATTATATAATTGCTAACATGCTTCATGCTACGGCCAACACATTCCAAATATCTGCATCGGTATCAGCAACCACGACTGAAAGTTCTCTACTGATTTATCATAATTCAAAAAAATATACCCTCTGTACCAAGTAGATACAACGCAGTCGTAATAAAAAAGAATTATCTTTTTGAAATCACCGCTGCACTTCTCAAAGCCAGGGTGTATAGCGGTGGGAGTGTTTTTGCAATGGATACTATTAAATTTGACATCATACACAGCTATAGATCGAGTGACAGGCACTCTGGGCACACCAAATTCTACATCTAAAATCCAGGACACATTTTCATTTATACTTGCGATTTTACAAAATTCGTCTATTATTGGATTTGGGTCGATTGTTAGCATTTTTGCTGATGGAAAAAGTTCTTTTGGTAATGTTAAGTAAAGCTCAACTGGATCCTTTTCAGTTTCATCAATGACGGATGTAGCCATTTCTTCAGGTAACGCAGCCTCATCTATATATTCAGCATTACTATCATTTACTTCATGTGTATAAGCTATAGGTTTATATGTATTATATAAACTGTTATAAATATCTGGAGTAACGTCTAAAGCAGTGTTAACTAGAGGATCAGGAACGATAGCGGCGTAGGGACATATTGGAGTGATTATTTGTGGTGATACAAGTGCGATTGGTATCTGTGGTACAGACGCAGTATAAGGGTTTGCTACTTGCACTGCACTCACTAAAGGGTTCCATTCGTTAACTATCACAGGTATGCTGTATGCTTGAGGAATTTGATGTTGAGTGTAATACGTTGCCATATTCAGAGTAATCACATTTATTATTAAAAAGAATTTAGTATTTTTCTTCTGTATTCAGATGGTTTATAATTTTAATTTCCTTTGAATAGTTTTCTAATAAGTTTTACTATACTCTTCTCGGTTTTATAGTTTTTTTTTTCATTTAAAGGCTTGAAGGCCATATTGGATCACGCCTGAAAAATGTTGTGTTAGTTTTTATTTACATAATTATAAATTACTTTATTATATAGTAGTTTAATTAACAAATAAATACTTACTGTGAATACATTTTGTACCATTTATACCACTAATAAACTCAAGTAATATTACTGTCGTCTAGAATTTTATTTTTCAATATATTTTCTGTTCTGTTGTTTTGTTTTAGTCTTCAGGTACCAATTTAGTAATATCTACTTCACCTAAATTGCAAGAAATTAATTTTAAATAAATATAAATCAAATGTAACTTAACGTATGGTATAATAGTGTGGGTACTTATTAAAAACAGTTGACAATTTCTAATAAAATTAAGTGTTGCCAATGAATATAATTTTATGGAAGTTTGAATTATTTTTCTTGTTTTATTCTTATTTGTATTTAAACCTAAAATATCTGTTTTATAATATGTATACACATGTATACATATGTATGTACATAAAATGTTTTTTCATAAAAAAAAACATTATGTTAAATTTAAAATATATTTTCAATTAAATTTAATTTTATAATTAGAATCCTAAAAGCGAATATATTTTTACGAGTAAACAGGCAAATATGTAAATTATTTATAAATAATACCAAATTTTTGTTCAAATATTATTACTTTCTAGAATTAAACCTGAAAGTTACTGACTTATTACGTTATTATTACGTTGTATCAAAAACTGTAATTGCAATTATATTTTCTTTCGATTAGAAATAACAATATCACGACATATTAAATGATAAATATTTATTATGTAACACAATAGAACTCATTATTCGAAACAAGTGCAATTGTCTATATCGAACTTCCCTGCATGTACACTCGGCCGTTAGTTTGAATTGGCAAAAACGTACAATCTATTTACATTTTTAGTACATTGTGATAAGGGCTGGTTTAGCGTTTTAGTTATACGTTGTTATCGTTTGTGGTGGACTTTATTCTTTAAAAGAATTTCCTCTGCTGCAAATTGCTTCCCGACGACTGCTCGTAACGACTTCATTGTGCACGTTTCATTCAATGTGTGGATGAACCCTAACTAGACCAGCTTTCCAAAGGTAATAACCAATTACTTATTGATATATTATATTAAACTCAGCGAGACTTCTTTGTTTCATTTTACGCAAACATATTTTATAAGTACTAACCTAATGAAGATGTAATAGAAATATAAGTTAGATGAAATGATTTTCTCTTAGTAATATTTCGTTCTTAGAAATGAACAGAATATTGGGTTTTTATATTTTCTTAGGAAATTTCTTTTAATTTTATTTTAATGACAACAACTGTGATTTCTGACTCTGTTCTAATTGAATATATCAAGAACGGTTCAACAGAAATTAGCTTTAGAACATTAACAATGTCAATTCCTCGACCACTACAGTAATAAATTTAAGAGTAATGTACGGGAAGATCTTACTCAGTAACCTATCCCATGTTTAGTATAAAGCATTCAAAACATCGAAAATAAAAATGAAAATCAAACCACGAACAAATTGTTTTATTTAAAACTAGCAACTTAACCTCACTTGTCTTGAGTCTTTAGGGCGTCCTTAGAGATGGCTTAGAAACGCACAGGGGACTTATTTTTTTTTTGGGGGAAGAACATATCTGTAGCACTCTCAATAGTTTAACAAGTTTTATCACTATGGGATGAATGGTTAACGAATGCATAGAGTACAAACATATAAAGAAACATTCTGTTTTATCATAGACTAGCGGCTCACCCTCGCTTCGCTCGGGTTCGTCGCTAGGTACGTTTTAAATAGATATAAAAAGAAAAAATCTTTCTTTCTCACATTTTAATTATATGTTTTAATACTTACCTATTCCGGACTAAGAGAAATCCAAAAATTAAAATATCATAAAAATTTGAACGCGGTCGAACGGGATAAAAAGTATCCTATGTCCTTCTCCTGGCTCTAAACTACCTCCCTGCCAATTTTCAGCTAAATCGGTTCAGCCGTTCTTGAGTTATAAGCGAAGTAACTAACACGACTTTCTTTTATATATATAGATGAAGAGAATGGACTGAACAATACTATCATGAAATTGACAAAGAGAGAGAAAGCGCACATGCGGCCAATACCCGTCTTTTATTCCGATTTGAAAATTATAATATTATAATAGAATGTAAAATGTTTATAAATACCTATCTTCATTAATCGTATTTCAATTAATACAGAAGACTTCTGGCCGCACATTCGTTTTGTCTCTGTCGGTTTTTCGCCATTTTAGCTAATTGCTGGCAATGAGACACTCATGTCCGATTTCACCAACGTCACCTAAGTTTAAGGGATCCCCTAAGCATGGTTAGGGGGCTGTTAGGGGACAGTTTCTGTTTCACCGACAGTTAGGGGTCACCTAAATATTAAAAAGCCCCCTAAATTTAGGTGTTCGAAATATGGGCTTAAAGACGATGGTAAAACGAAATTTATTTTAGGGGCTAGTTTAAGGGAATTTTAAGCTAGGGATCCCATACGTACGTGGTAGCTTATGGGTTGTTGGTAAAATCGGGCATCAGTCCACTCTTAATATCTAAGATTTTTATAGATGTAAAATATTCGCATAAATCTAAGAAAGAATTACAATATAACAGTATCATAAACAGCGTGAACATCGGTGTCAGTGAGTAAAAGCAAGTGTCTTTGACGGTGACGTTTATTGTGATACGACAATCAGTGTCGTATCCACAAACGAGCGTGTTGTATGGTATGAATCAAAGTGTCAACTGTACAGACATGAATGCCGGACATTTGTGTCAAAATTTCAGTCGCAGTATAATTTAAGCTTAAGGACAAAGGATCTGAAGTAAAGTATGTAACTTTTGCGTTATATATTGGCAATTTAGACTTAATTTGAACAGATAAATAAACACTTAAAATATATTTTTTTCTTGTAATTTCTATCTATAAGGTATAAGCTATTTTATTAATCCTACCAATATTAAAATATTTGGATGTATGGATGTATAGATGTATGGATGTTTGTTCTTTTTCACGCAAATACTACTGAATGGGTTTTAATGAAACTTTATAATAATATAGCTCATACATCAGAATAACACATAGGCTACTTTTTATCCCGGAAAAATATACGGTTCCCGTGGAATAGATTTGTTTTTGTTTTTTCGATAAAATCGAATCACATGTATTCTCAAATACAAAGATTATATACTTGAATATATTCAAAAATGTTTTAATGCACCTAAAATATTAGTGTTGATAACCATCTTCTTAAAAATAACAGGAAGAAAAAAAAAACATAAAGAAATATTACTTCATTCATATGGGAAATCTGGAAAATAAATAAAAAATCAAAGTAGTAACTAGGGTCCGTCTCTTGAGGTCGTAATTTGCAAGAAGGCATTCGAACTTTTCCATTAACATTTTTACATTACCCAAAATAGATATTCGATTTAAATTTATTATGGGCTGAAATCATATAATTCTGTAACTATTTTCAACAATAATTTTTTCAGAATGGTACTTTCAGGTTATCTTTTTGAATGAATTTTATGACAGCTTTGAATTTTAAATATACATTTTACTTATATGATATTTGACATTTATTATTTAACGACTTACCCTCGCTTGGGTGTGTCAGGTGCTTTGGTACCTAACAGTAGCTGTTGTTTTCTCCGGTTCATATCTGTGGTCTATCTGAGTATAAAGTATATCAAATAAAAAAAATCAAATTCAGCCATTTTGGCGTGTAAAAATAACAAACATACACTCATGTAAACTTACGTGTTTAATAGATTTTGATAGTGCAGTCCTTTTTATTACTAGTGCTATGGCACGTATTTAGACATTTTTAACGTGCCACTGCTGGGCACGGGGCTTCCTTCAATACGAGGGGTTACAGTCCACCACGCTGGCTAAGTGCGGGTTGGCGGATACACACGTCTTTCAAAAACTAGCTAGGTTCTCTCAGATGTGCAGGTTGCCTTAAAATGTTTTTCTTTACCGTAAGACAAGTGGTGATCATACTGGAAATGATTCGCACACAAAAATATTAGAGGTGTGGGATCCCGGATTTGAACCGGCTTTACTTGGTTTCCCAAGCGAGCGCATTACCACTGGACTACCACTGTCTTATGGCAGAAAGAGATAGACTATTGAAGTTATAAATTAAAATCAAATGTATTATAATATTAAATATATTTTTTTTATTTTTTATTAGATCCAGTCTTAATTTAATTAATCAAATACAACTTAAAAGTTAGCAGATTTATATTTTTCCACATGAAGTAAAAGCCTCATTTTTAATAATGAAATACACAAAAAAATCTAGAAGAGAAGCCAGTATTTATTGAAAGTTTTGCTTTACAATAAACGAGGGGAAGAACGGTTGGCTTCAAATATAATTTACATTTTAAATATGAAATTTAATATATAAAGTTGGAATAATCCTTATTTCAAGGAAAAATATCTGTAGCACTCATATTAAACTCTCCTTTGACTGTTCGAAGCGTGAGAGACCGCTAGCCGCGATTTGAACGCTCGATGGCTTAAAACGTGAGAAATAGCGTTTCCATCGGTTATAATTTTAACTTGGGACTAACTATTTATTTGCTTACTAGCAACTTACCCTCATTCGGGCTCGTCTCCAGATATTTTTAACGGTTAGTATAGATTTCTAAGAGATGAGATATTCCCCTCAGTAAAAAGTATCCTATATGTTGACCCGGATAACAAGCAATCATCATACTAAATTTCACCAAAATCTGATCACTAGTTTTCTCGGGATGCGTTCCCAGACAGACAGACAGACTAAAATTCTAAAAACCTTAGATACTTGCGAGGGTGAGTCACTTG